GCCCCCCTCCGATCGCGGCAGCGGGGATCGCGCCCACCGCCGCGGCGTCTGGCCGCCCGCCGCTGCCCGGGCTTCATTAGTAACCTGATAATTCCCCAGCAAAGCCCCGGCAGCGGTGCCACCGCCGGGTAATTGCAGGACGGTAACGTGAGCTGATGGCGGCCGGGGATGGATCCTCGCCGTTATTGATTGTGACAGCTAAATTGTTAACCGAGAGGGAAATCAGATGAAAGCCATTTTAGAATAAATACAAGGCATTAGGTTTAAACATCGAGGTTGCAGGAAAGCCCGAGAAACCCCCAGGAAACGGAGCCCAAGGCCTGCCAGCTTGTCCTCCCCTGTCCCCAGCTCCACAGAGGCCGAGTGCAGGGGGACACGGACAAGTGCAGAGGCGAGCTGCTGAGAAAGGACAATTTAAACCCTTCGTTCTCACTGGTGGGGTCTGAATTAGCTCTGGCTGCTCCAGAAGAAACACGTAGGAGTTTTCGTGGACGCAGCCATGAAAGCTGTCTGTCCCCCTACGCAGCACCGGTCGAGGCCGGGCCGTGTGGGGTTTATTTGTATCCCTGAGTGATGCTGGGCTTGGCAGCCACGGCTCAGCACCACGGGCCAGCACCGCACAGCCAAGCAGATGCTTGCACCGCTCTCACGATTACAGACCGGGCTCTCCAGACCCTGCAAAGGCAGAACAGGCTCAGGGTGACTCCAGCCCAGCTTCTGCCCTTCTCAGCCTTAGGAGTAAGTCTTGGCTCTGCAGGGTCTCCTGCTCTCACTGCCTGCTGAGAGCAGACAGATCTCACACGTGCCTCTTGCACCAGAACAGGGCCTGGCAGCGACTGGGGAACGCGAAGCACTGGAGCCAACAGGTATCAGCACTGAGCCCATCCTGTTCTTACCCCCATGTGCTCCCTCCACCAGTGCTGGAGTTTGTACAAGGCAGCAACAAGGTGGCAGCGTGTCAAGCAGCAGCTCGGCCAGAATCCCAGAATTTGGGGTTGGGAATGTCCTGTGCTCCCTGAGTGAAGAGTCCATGCCTGTCCCAAGTGAGGGACTGTCACCACAGGCAGAATGGTTCAAATACCATGGAAAAACCCACACTGTGGCCATGGTGAACTATGGGGAATAAAACAGAGTACAACAGAACTGATAAAGGAGCCAAATATCTTAGGCCTGATTGAACAGAAACCATGGGAGATTGTTACCAAAAATAGAACCCAATGTAAGTGCCAAACAAGTAAAACCTATATAAACACCTTGTATACTCAATGAAATTGGCTTCTGATCTTGCTTTGGATGTCCCCATCTCTCAATCGCCGATGGTGAACATCACCCTCAGTAACCCACCTTGCTCCCATGGATTTGCTGGTAAATACAGGGGAAGCAAGGAACCTCCTCAGAGGACAGGAGTGTAGGCTGGAGGCAAGAAACAGCCCAATCCCTCTTCACAGGTGGGCACTGAGCCCAGCTCTCCTTCCCACCACCAGCTGCCAACCTCCCTACTCACGGCTCCCGCGCCGGCCGCAGCGACGCCGCGCTCCCAGTGCTCTTCAAACCTCTTTTACGACGGTTTTATGCAAAGTCCCAGGGTCGATGCTCATGAAAAAAACCCATTTCTGAGCATTTCCCTCCTCCCAGCTCCAGGGTTAGGCTGTGCTCTCGGCGCAGGGAAGCCGCAGTGCTCCCGGGAAGCGCAGGCAGCAGCAGCGCCTGCCAGGCCGGCGGCAGCAGGAATGACCAACACGAGCACCAACCTGCAATAAAGCTCCCCCAGGTCTGAGTGTGGCCGAGCGACAGACAAGGCACTTCTGTTAGCGACCACAGCAGTGCAAAGAAATAATTTTAAAAAAAAAGACTGATGCTATTGTGTCCGGGTTCTGTCAGTGGACTTCGGCTGATGCCAAGCATTTACCACCCTCACTCACTTCCTGCTTGCCACCCTCGGCTTTCCTGGAGGAAAACATGCATTTTAAATGTTTATTTAGAGCTTAAGAATTTCAACAAATTGTATTCAAATACAAATAAATATCAAAATATGCTTCTGATGGGAGCACAGGCACACACCCATTTGTAACCAGGTATCTCCTGAACTCCTAACGGGAACAGAATTCAGAGCTGTTCTAAACAACGCGGATACAGACCCAGAAAGCTACAAACGTTAGAGCACACAGGAACAAACACAGGCTGTTCATAGGAATGCAAACAGCTGTCACTGACATTCAGAAGGGTACAAACTCCCAAGAATACTACTTTTCCCTCTACTCAGGTAACCAAAAACTAGGAAACAAACATTAACAGCACGAGACCTACTTTAGAACAATTGAGGCTTTCAACAATCCTCCGCCACAGACAGGCACGGCTCCGTTCCAGGTGCTCGCTTCGGCAGCAGGAAGCCAGCTCTGCCTGAAGGGAGGTGTGCTGCTGCTGCTGCTGCAGGAATACAAACCTCCCTGGGCTGTGCCACTGAGCAACTCCTGCCTGCACAAACCGGGGCTCTTCCCAAATTGTTTTCCTCCTCCTCTTTGAGACCACCATTAACCAGTTTGGGGGAACAGCTCAAGAGTGACTGATGAGGTCTGACAGGACTGGGGAGGAAAAATCAGAGCAGTGTCACCTGGACCTGAGCACAGGAGCTCTCTGACATCCCCCTGGCACATGCAGTCACTGCACTGTGTGCACAAAGGAGAAAATGCTGCCAGAAAATGTTTTTTCCTCAGCTTTCTGTTTTACAGTGGTGCCACCTCACACCAAGTGGCAGCTGACCACCTCTACCAGCTCATGGAAAGCAAAGCTGGGCAGGACAGGGGGGAAAAACCAAGTTCATGGCTTGGCACATGTCTCAGAGGCTGCAGTTACATCTGGCTCATGAGGAGCTGCCACCATCAGGGATCACTGAACAGAAATGCCAAAGTTCAGGGCACAGCACAGATCTCGGTGGTGTGTAAATGCACTAATTCCTACATGCAGGCACACACCTACAGCCTAAATGACACTGAAAATACCTGTGCTGTGTCATTACCATGTCATAAAGTAACCTTGTGGAGTGTGCAAATCAAAATGCAAAATCAATTGGCTTTGGTGCATATAAAATATCCCATGCACAGTTACTAAAGGTGTTGCAAGATCTATTTAAAATGAGTTTTATTGAGATGAAAAAGTTTTTCCATTATAACTACAGCATGTTAATCAAAACCAAGTGCTTCCCCTTCCATTAAAACATGAATTGGAATACATTTTGTTCAAAAATACTTTAAAAAGTAATCAGTTAAATGGAGTATTTTTGGATGTGCTTTACTCCGAACGCTGGTTACTGTTTCTAATCTGGCTAATGAATGCACACTAACAAGAGGTTTGCCTGTGTGTTCATCAGAGGCTTTGAAGGGAACCTATTTCTCTCAACAGCCTTCAGCTGTGAGCTGCACAGGCAGGAGCGTGCAGTCCCTCGGGTGTGACAGAGGGCTGTGCTGGCCGTGCCCCGCTCAGGTGGCACCGTCCTTCCCACTCTACAAAAGTACAAAAGCATTGGAGGACTCCAGGTATACAAAGCAGTGCTTCTTGCTACCATCATCCATTCATAAGCATCATCTTCTGGATTTCCAGGCAGCTCTGGAGTATGGAGTAGTCCTTTTCTTATCCGGTGGTTTGAAGTAAGAATAAACAGGTGCTGCAGGATATTCTGCGTCTGGATTTTCTGCCATCATTTTCAGCTTGGCTTCAATGGCCTTGATTTTTGCACTGACACTGGAAAGAGAAAAAGCAGAAGGGAAATTGAGCTTGATCTTAGCATGAAACCAAACTACAGAAATCTGTACAAACTACAGAGATTCTGCTGACATGCGAATCCTCCCTGCACAAGGAGGGGCCAGGCAGCCCCAGTGCTGCATCCACAGCGAGGCAGGAATGCACTGCCCAGAGCCCACACTGCTGCATTTCAACCTCTGCACGGCTTTGTTCCTCCTTCAGCACCCCAAAATAACGGCCCCTGCACCTATTCAGTGCCTTCTTGAGGATGCAGAGTGAGACAAGAACACGACAGGGCTTCCTACTTCACGTGAAATGATGTAATTTCAGGAGGTCTGAGCATGTGCAGCAGAGCACAGCCTGGAGCAGGCTGCTGGGAACAGCAGAGAAATGAAAGCCAGACTTCCTCCCAGCTACAGCTTGCTCGGGATGGGAAAACCCCAGACTCTAATTAGGTCAGGAAGAAACATTATTTCAGCATTAGCAGGGTTTATCCCAAAGGGAGAAGCTATCCTAGGTTACACCCCAAATTCCAAAGACTTTTGTTATTCCCTATCCTCCATTGGGTATGGACAGGGAGGAATGTTCCCTTCCCCATTGTGGCTTCTTGCACCATCCATCCTTACTAGAACTAGATTGTTAACAATCTGCATGGCTCAAACCCCTCTGCTCTTTACTTCCTAGCCTGTTACTTCTGAATTCCAAGCTCATTTTATCTCTGGGCAAATGCATTAATCTGGTCCTGGTTCCTCACAGGGTTCCACTGACAAAACACAGAGGAAAACACACACCCTTTCAAATAAACTGTGAATTAGCAAAGCAGCTATGTGCTTTAGGTAAATGCAGTGGTTGGAGAATTTAACCACATCCCACAGACAAGAGCTACAGGCAAAAAAACACTGGCAAAAAATAAAATAGTTTTATGTGAAGTACTACCTGTGACTTCATTATAATCTTCTACCACTGCTGTAGAACTTCTTGGTCATGAGCATTTTGCTGAACCAAATCAGTCCAGTAAAAACCCAATTCACATGAAGTGCAGAGATTCTGGCCAAAGGACCTGCAGTGCTACACATTCCCAAGTCCCCATCTCACCTTATTCCCTTCCTAGTACCCACTGGCTTTGCATGTTAGAAAATAAACTTCCAGTCTGAAGTGTCCCACATCAAGTGAGTGACTCCACAGGCACTGCCCCTTCAAAAACAGCTTTTTTGCCGTGCTAGATTTTTAACAGAAACAATGCCAACAACTATAAATCTTACTGAAATGGAAAAAGTTGGTTCCCTGCCAGTCCCACAGCTGGGTTACCTCTCACCCATCTCCTACCTTAGGTTGGACTGGGGTGGCTCTGTGCTGGAAGATGGCTCCAGACTGATTGGAAGGATCTTCTCATTCTTATTGTGATCATATCTCTGCAAGCAAGAGACCAAGGACTGAGTCAGCTGTAATTAGGGACAAAGAAACATTTCCCACAGATGGACTTTAAAGCTGGATTAACATTGCCTCAGGTTTTGCGGAGCTTTTGGTAGGAAAGATTTTGGTGGTCAAACAATGAAACAAATCCCAACCACAATATTTGGTTAGCACCAACATGGAATGCAGGCTGGATACTGAACAGTTATGTGCATTGTACTGTGGATCCTTAAACCTTCTCCTGTCACTTCTTGTTCCCCTCTACGTAAGGCAGGAAGCACAGATGGTAAATCTGAAGGTAACTACTGAGCTGTTTGCTATGCTCCTTATGTGCAGAGCCAGAAGGTAACCCAAGCACATGACTGCACAGAACTGGGAAGTCCTGGGTGAAAAGATGGGGGGAAAAAAAAAGAAAAAAGATCAGTTAGGAACCACCTCCTTTCTGTAGAAGGCAGCTTTGTGAGTCTGTCATCTCTGTGGGCAACGGGCCTCCTGAACTATTTGCAGTGTTCTGCTTCCTTATTTCGCTTGGCACAGAGTCAGGTTTGTTTTTCTGCAGAGCTGCTCAACCCGACAGCGTCTGGTGAGCCTTGGCCACTCATCTCAGAGCTGCTTACCAACATGCTGCTCTTGTCTAAAACAAACTCTTGTTACAATAAGCCAAAGTTTTGTGCTGTTAAGTCTTTCCATTCAGGGATTGGAAAATGCCATGCGAGGCGATCATTTCTGCGTGTTCCTCCCCAGACCCCCGAGCAGCTGAGCAGACATTCACTCCTCCAGCTCAGACTCCTTTTGTGGCCTGATCATTCCTCAGGCATCCAGAAGCATGTGGCACTCCAGTAGCTCCACAGAAAATGGAAACTGGATTTGCACAAGCTTGGATGTGCTGACAAAAAATCAGTAACTAAACCAATGTGGTCTCCTTTAATGGAGATACCTGGTTTGGTTTTTTAAGCATCTGAAACAGATGCACTAAAATACTGGATAAGACAAAGCAGAAAGCTACTGGGAGGATAATCATGTAAAAGAAAACTACTCAAAAGAAAACAGCAACAAACATTTCCTCTGTGCCTCCCCCAAAATCTGTTTTGTGCAAAGAAATTTATTCAAAATAAATTTATCAAATACGAGATAGAAAATAACTTCAGGAAAAACAAGGCAAGAATTTTTAAAAATTAAAATAAGGATGTTCCAGAAGGTACTGCCTAAGTCAATCTTAAAAACTTGATTGTTTATGTGACAGAGCAAGGAATAAAAGGATATTTAGCTTAGATGCAGAGTATGTTACTTTAAAGTCAAAACTAATTAGAGCTGCTGCCACATAAGTGCTTTCAGAAGTGGAACAAAGTAACACAGTAACCGGTAATTGGGAATTTCCATACCTCTCCTATGCAAAAAAAACCACAAAGGGAAGGATTCAAACTTCCAGCCAATTACTCACTAAGTTTGGGAAAAGTTAAAACATGGGCATTTATAGAAGTAATCTGTTCACACTGCTCTGAGCAGAAATGCCCTCCCAAAAAACCCCAGGTTAAAGGGCCTGTCCTCACTCACAGCTAATGCAGCCCAGTTTGGGTAGACATGAGAAGCTGTAAACATCAATTCTCCTAGAACAGACTGTAATTATTTTGCCAGGCCAAGACTGCCTTGATAAGAAGGCTTTTATTATTCAAGTTTTTCAATTTTGCAAACTAAAAGCAATTCCTCTTTCCAGCAGCCAGCTTACCTTGACTTGTGCGTGTGCCCACCGCACCACCAATTTCTTGGACAGGGCCAGCTTCCCATTGAGACACTGGATCGCCTTCTCTGCTTCCTGCACAGGAAGACAGTTCCATAAACAAACCAAGCCTTTAGTCAAAACCTACTCACATGGAAAGAGCTCTTTTTTCTTTGTTATTTAGCTTACTGTAAGTACAGCTCACTGACAGCACAGAGAGTTTATCCCACCGTATCCCAATCCAGGGATATCCCCAAAAGACTCCCAATAACCAGACTTTATCTGCCTTTCTTGTTCCACCTTGCTGTGAATAATTTTCTAGAGCTAAAGCACAGTGTTAGGGCTCTTCTGATGTCCTTATCACCAGCAGCAAAAAATGGACCAAAGAACTGTCCCTTTCTAGTTAGCATTAAAAAGCAGGATTCAGGAAAAGACAGCAGAGGAGAAAGGAAATCACTATTGCTACTTCCAGGAGCAGTCACAAAGTGACTGTGACAAAGCAGAGCTGTTAGAATCTGTGAGTTTATGTAGATCAAGTACTGAATTTATCCTTTAATCTTGTAGTTTTGAATTAGCATTAAAAAAATGGGAAATAAGTCAGTTGTTTATATCAGAACTTTAGGTAAAATGCAACTTACCTGTTTGGTTTCAAAGTTGACAAAACAGTAACCCCTGGGCTGCCCTTCCAGAGCACCAGACTTGTGGAAGAGAAAGTCAAATTGCTTTACTTTGCCAAACTTCTGAAGGAGTTTGAGGAGGTGGTATCTGAAGAGAAGAGAAAACATTTATGACATGTTTTATCCCACTGACAGTGAGGAGATAGAGAGGAACCCCTGACACTCGCAGGGCTCACACTCAGTGTAACAACACATTCAGCTGTGTCACACACAGATTCCCAAATCCCTGCAGGGGTGGGTGCCCTGTGCAGCACTCCTTCAGCATCCACAGCTCTGAGCAGCGTTACCAGTGACTTTCCAAAACCCCAAGGCACAAAACTCCCTCCACTCCCAGCACTGCCAGCTGAAGGGCACAGAGATCTATTAATAGCTGCCTTTTGGACAATTATGCAATGACTCCCAAGGGGGTTGGGAGGGCTTTGCCTCCAGCCTCACTGAATCACTCCTACTTTCTGGCATAAGCCTCCTGTCTCCCCCTCTCTAACCCTGATGTGACCACCTGAAGCTCCATTCTCTGCACTCCTCTCCCAGCACAAGCACTCTGAGCCCACAGCACCCTGCACCCCCCAGGATCCTGCTGCCCTCCCTCTCCCAGAACAAACCCTCCCCTTCCCTGTGCCAACCAGTGACAGTGCTCTGGCAAGGACACCCCAGGGCACACAGACACTTGTCTGGAAAAGATGGGGATGCAGGAAGACAGAAGAATAAATAGAACAACCTGCAACCAGAAATTGTCAGCAGACCTCAAGAAAAAAGGCACCAGGCAGCCCCCAGCATCATCCAGCCTAAATCTGCCAGTGCTTCTGGCTTAGACAGCTTTTCAGTGACATGTTCATGGAAGTCAGACACTTTTTTAGCCAATTATCCTCCTGCCATCCAGTGGGGAGTGTGCTGTTTCCAATAAAACTGGGGAAAGCCAGAGTAAATCTGTCTGCTTAGTATCTGGTGCATTGAGCAACTTAAAACAAGGAACACATATGCTGTACAGGCCACATCTAATCCTGAAAGTTCTTTGCAGCTTTTTTTGGTTCCCTGGGATTGAAGTGTTTAACAACACTGGCTGACCTAGGAGAAAAGTGACACTCCCTGCTCCTTCACTGCCTGACCCCATCCCTGACATTTAAGAATTACTTAAGTGTTTAATAAGGGTGTCTTAGTCAGGACTCATCTCCTGAGCAGCTGTAGAGTGTTTGTTGCTATGCAGTGTAACCCAAATTTTCAGTGTTTAAGGCTCAGAGAGCCTGCCAGGATAACACCAGGCACCGGGTGAAACTCCCATGTCCAGACATGAATGGTCAGTAATGGCCCCAGACAGCCAAGTGCACCAGGCAACTACAGGGACTGTCCAGATGGGAAGGGCAGACAGCATTTTTCCTAATAAAGCCTGATAGGATGTCTGAAAAGGGCCTTAGCCCTTTGTTAAGCTTCAGAAGCCAGGCAAGAAAGTTCCAGGAATGTGAGTCATCCCACAGGATGGGTCACCGTGGACATTCAGGATGTGCACTTTTAAAGAGGTGAAGGTGCAGCGTGTGCACAGACGAGCAGTGCAGAAGGGCCAAGTTACCCCCAGGGGAACACACACATTGTCATTGATTATGGAAGGCTTCCTACATCCTTTGGAATACAGATGAAGTGCATGGTCTTCCAAGAAGCCTATGAGCTCTCAAACTCTGCTCTGAAAGCAAGGGGAACTGAAAAGAGCAGGGTGAAGAAAAGGAGCTGATTACACAGTAGCCAAATTTCACCACCTCACACTTCCAACAAGCAGACACAGATGTACAAGTGAAAACACTGACTTTGGAGACATGATGTATAAAAAACTCCACATGTTGCACTTCCACAGCCTTCAAAATATGTAAACGCACCTCAGGTTTGTTTCTGTAAACACACTGCTACAAAAAGCCCTGGGAATTTCAGCAGTGTGGAAATGAAGTCCTCACCACCAGGATGCTGTTCCCCTTCTGGCCATTACAGAGGCAGGGGAAGGGCAAGGACGATTCTCACTGAGTTCTACCCTAAAAATCCCTGCAGCTGCCTTGCCAAAAGGAACTCTTTGGGGGTGGTTTGTTGGGGGTTTTTTTGAGAGCACCTGCATTCAAATAATCTTATTATTATTTAATTATTTTAATTTAATTTTAATTAATTAAATTAATTAATTATTATTAATACTTAGCAGCAAGGTGATAGTTCCTCCTTTAAAACAATTTTCATCAACAGCCTAGAAGCAGCTTATGTCATCTATTTTGTTCAGAATCCTTTTTCCAACCGTGCTTGCAATTTCACAACTGTAAAATTGTAAACTCTTCTCTGTGGAACAGCTCAGAAATCCTGTATAATTAATGCTTTAAGCTGTGATTATGGATTGGTATTGTTAAAATATTGCATTTACAGTAACTTGACAAGTGGTTCCTCAGGGCAAGAGGTACCAAAGAAGAAGACTGTGATGGAAAACCTGAAGCCTTATTAAAAAAAAAAAAAAAAAAGAAAAAAAGGTGAGGAGATGTAAAAAGCTTTACTATGGCAACAACACGGGTCATCCAGAGCTTGGAAGTTGTTGGCACCGCCGTGGCCCCACTGCAGATCCGCGGCCAACCTCCATCTCCACTTCCTGTCATCTGATGTGAATGCGAGACAAACCTGCAGCTCCCCCATTTCCTTTTCCTCCTCTCTTCCTCCTGGCACCCCGAGCGCTATTCAGACGCAGGCAAGGCTTCCTCTGAACAATGCTGTCCCAAGGATCCCGCGCGGGGACCGGGCCACATGCAAAATCTATTATTGCGAGGAATTCTGCCCCACTGGGAGCCAACGGGGGTCTGTAACAACAACTTGTGCACACATTGTTTTCTAGGTGAGACTCATCGAGATGGGATCCTCGACAAGCAGCACAACAGCTGAGGAAGTTGAACACCCTCTACTTCATCCCTGTGGAAAATGAATGGGCATTGAAAGGCTACGGGAAACCAGATCATGTGAGCCAGAGAGCTGAAAATGAAATCTCTGCCTGTCCAAAATGCTGAAAAGCCTCCGAAGGCTTTACGAACAGGAATGGGCAGAGGAGGCAATTCTACCCCACCTGCCACACGGAGACATAACTGAACAACGTGGTTTTGCCCCATGGGGTGGGAGCACTGAGGGGTGATGAGGTCACACAGCACATCCCCTGCCCTGCTGTGCAGCTGGGGCACAAATGATGGTGGTGACACCAAACCACGAGGAACCACCTGCTGCCGTCCTCATGCAGACCCCACGGCAGGGATCTCAGAGCTTCCAGAGTGCCTGGAGGCACCATCCTGTCACAAGCAGCTGTGAGGTCCCCTGGTGCCAGCTGTCCTCCTCCCAGCTGCTGAGAACACACTCGGGAGACTCCCAGCACCACCTGCTTCCACAGCAGACAATGCTTCAAGGATGCTGCATAAAAGAAGTCACCCACAAACAGCACCAGCAAGGAGGAATGCCCAGCTGAAGAGCCACCATAACCCAGCACACAGGGCATGCCAACACCCCCAGCTGAGCCACAGTCACTTGGTATGTGCAACAGCCTCCCAAAAGCTGTCATTTGTGGGCAGCCCTACATTTATAAATGCCTGTTCCTGCAGCTTGTGCTCCAATGTGTACATTACCTATTAACTCTCCAGCACTCGACTGCAGCTCTAGCTTGTTCTTTAAATGGAAGTCTTGGATTGATTGGATTGAGACTTTCTGATCTCATTTCTGCTCGAGAGTGTCACAACCACTTATTAACTCTGCCAACAACTCAATCAACCTTACTCTGTCTTAAACAAATCCAACAGAGAAGTAACAAAGGCAACTCTTTAAAAACCAGATAAAAGCAGCAAATGCAGAAATATTTAAGTTTTCAGGGGTTTGATTTGGTCATGTGAGTAGTACAACAGGAATAATTCAGAGGAACAACAAGAACTAGAGATGTAAGCCCTTGGCATGAGAGAATAAGGGTCAAGATGATTTATAGAAACTCACTGACCACACACTTTCTCTACATTAACAATGCTAAAAGGAGCTTCCTCTTCTTTTGTTCACAAGGAAATGGAGATGCAACATCATTTGCAGGAGAGAAGAGCCATTTAAAAGCAAGAAAAAAAAAGAAAGACACATAATTATAAAGTCTGAAATAAGCAGCAAACACTGTCACTCATCACTGGGCTAACTTTAAACATTTAGGAGCATAGAAGCACTCTAGGTATGAGAACCTTGGAGAAACCACCAAACTCACTTCATCCAAGTGATGAAAACAGTTAATTCTGCCATATAAACCTATTACTTATCTGGCCAAGATTAAAAGGAACAACTTACACCGAGCACTGAGGATCACCCTGGGAAGTGAAGGATCCAATGCACTCACACCCTCCACTCCTGCCCTCACACTAACACAGCTCCTGAATCCCTGAGGACTCGGCAAACAACACCCAAAAATTCCTATATCTAATTTCACGTGGTCAGTGAGTGTGGACAAACCACAGCAACAGAGCTGTGGGATGGAAGTGGTAATTAATGCAGAAACCTCCCCAAGCTGAATGGCTGAAATCACAATGCATTAATGATTCCATTTAGAGGCTATTAGGGAGCCGCTCTGCTCAGATGAACCACACTTAGAATAAAACCCCAGCACCTGCACACACACAAAAAGAACCAGGAAGAAAAAGTATTCCACGACAGGCATACACAATAGTTAATCAAAAATGCTTGTTTGTTATGAGTGTGTAAAGCCCAAATTGTTTTGGTTCGCTTTCCTTTTTATACAACCTAGTGATTTCACGGCACCCTATCCAAATATTGGACAGCACATCATATTCTCTTAACAATTTAGCTGTTCAAATGTTATGCTTGCTCAGGAGATAATTATCCATAGCCTGGAGAAAACACAAAATGCTCACACACATGTTTGATTCATGCATTTAGCCACCACAGCAGCCAGTCCCACCACTTCCACCTCCTCACCACCCACTGCTGCAGTCACTCTCCTCTGCTTAACTCACACCCAGCACAATACCAAAACAAGGCTGTTGTTTGATACAGATGCCTGCCTGTCAGGTCTCCCCTGCCCACCCTCATCTCTTCACAGACCCAAACCACTCTGGGTACAATTTTCAGGGCTGTGCCTTGCT